GACGACGACTACTACTACTGTACTACGACGACGACGACTACTACTACTGTACTACGACGACTACTACGACGACGACTACTACTACTTCAACTTCAAGTTGTGCTACGCTCCTGATCCTGCTCCTGCTCCTGCTGCTGGTACCGCTGCTGCTACTGCTGCCGCTGCTACGAAAAGTTTTTATCATCAAGAGAGCAAACGAACTCTCCGGGCTGTGAGGTTCCCTCGTGGAGCACCGAGCTACTTCAAGGACACACAGAGACGAGGGCGAGAGGGAGCAGTTTAGTCTAGTCATGAGAAACTAAACCCGACCTCAGGACTTTCAAGGCTCTTCGTCCGTTCAGCGTGCGGGCGCTGAAGCGCAGCAGGCCGGAACATCGACACGAGAGGGGGGGGGTGATAAGAGGTGCAAACAGGGCAACCATGGTAGCTGTCCATGTTGCATCGTGGCGAGGTGGCAACTCTTAGCCCCGAAGCTGTGAATGGTTGGATCAGTGCCCCTTCTGCATTTTAATAAGATGCATCCATCGTAAAGCAGGAGAAGCAGGCTTTGCACTGCAGTGATGCAAGGCTCGGTTGCTGCGGATGTTATCGGATCAGCCGTGGACATGGATGAGCCTCTCATGGCGGCTGGCATGGACAGATTCATGGGTCTGCATCTCCCCATCGAAGCGTGGTGATCAACATGAGCTTATGCCCGCTGCTCGCAGGACTCCCTGTCCTCCGTGGAATTCCGCAACCGGCTCACTGCTGAAGCCGGGGCGGGCATCAAATTCCCGTAGCTGATCAGAAGTTAGGCACGTTGCTTGATTCTGCATTAAGCACGGAGCCAAAGAATTGAAAACACGACCGAGGAACACGCTTATGTTCGACCACCCGACGCTGCGAGCAATCGCCGATCTTGTGCAGTCCCAGATAGTGACTGATTCTCCGGCGGTTTCGGCGACACCCGAAGCGAAAGCCATCGTGCGTACAGGACTTTAGGGTATCCTTGGAAGAGGGCCGGGGGGGGAGCACATGGAGCTCTTGTGTCTAATGCCCTGGTAGTCTTTTTGTTGAATCTGCCGCAGGAAGCTTCACGGTGGCTGTCCAGGGCCTGGCGGCCTTCTTTCCCGGGGGCCCGGAAGGCTTGGAGTCCTGCTGGTCTCGGTGGCTGCAGCGCCAGGATGCCATTACGGCCGGAGCCTTAGAGTTTAGGGTTTTTTTGGGTTTAGGGTTTAGAGACCCCGAAATGTTGGCATATGCTGGCTGCTCCTGCTTGGGCCGAGGAGATTCCCTTCTCGCGGTTTGATCTTCAAGAAGTCTTTGATCAAGACATGGAGGCCCCTCAAAAAGCCAGAGAGTTCAGCTTTGTTCTTTGAGTCAACTTTTGAGAGAGAGAGAGAGAGATTGGCTTGAGGCGCTGGGGAACGTAATGTACGCCCGTCACGGCGGCTTTGTGGAGGGCGCCGAATTCTTCGATTCCGGCTTCTTCGGCATGTCCGCGGCAGAAGCCAAGACCATCGATCCGCAACAGAGGCTTGCTCTCGAGATGTCTTACGCTGCATGCCACCATGCCGGCCGTGCAAAGCAATCGCTATTGGGCTCCGACACCGGCGTCTTCGTCGGACAGTGCTTCAGAAACTCCAGCCGTCACCAACCCTAAACCTCAAACCTGCTCAAACCCTTTGTAAGCCCTCACCCCGGCTAGAAATAGAAGCCCTTACTCCTCGCAGCTCCCAGCAGCATTGGGGATCCACTCGCGCACAAAGCTCCTACCCACCCATCAAGCTTTGATCAACGTCTGTGTCTATGAAGAGGTTTCAAGATGAGGCTTGTGATAGTTTCGGAATCTACTTGGGGGCCATGAAGCTTCGATCCATTGAACACATGCAGAGCACAAAAGAGCAACCCTGTGGCAGGACAGTGTAACAACGATTGGGCCAAGTTTTCCAAGGAGCGATCTGCGAATCCCTACACTGGACCCGGTACACATGCGTCCATCTCATCGAACCGAATCTCCTACAGCCTCGGGCTCAGGGGTGCAAGCGCATCTGTGGACACAGCCTGCTCATCTTCCTTGGTTGCTCTAGACATTGCCTGCCAAAAGCTGGGCTTGGGTATGCTGGCAGCCCTGATGACCGGCGTACAGCTGAACCTGATAGCAGAGCCCTTCGTTGCATTCTCAAAGGCGCGCATGCTGTCCCCGGATGGTCGCTGCAAGACCTTCGATGCCTCGGCAAACGGCTATGTCCGTGGCGAAGGCTGTGGCTCAGCTTTGCTGCAGATCGCAGCCGCAGAAACTGCTGGGGCTTGGGCCCCCCTGCCTGCCATTGCCTCAACATCGACGAACCAGGCTCAGAGTTGTGGTCCTTGTTATTCTAGCCAAACCAAGGAAGTCGAATCCTAAATCCTAAGCCCTGGTCCGTCCTACATGAAACCCAAAAAGTCCGGAACATGAAACGCAGAAGTCCCGAATCCTAAACTCCCACACCGGACACCTGAAAACAGCAACTCCAAATCCGTAGGCCTTGACGACTTACTTACCCTTCCCTAAACCTTAAACTCTAAACCCTAAAGCCCCTAAACCCTAAAGCCCTAAACCCCTAAACCCTAAATCCTAAACCCCAAACCCTAAAGCCCCAAGATACAGAAACTCACCAGGACGGCCGAAGCTCGACGCTGACGGCTCCAAACGGCCCCGCACAGCAGGATGCTATCCGCAAGGCCGCCCCCAAAGAGGGATCACATGTAGGGGTTTCAGAGTTGGGCGCCTCGTTTGAGGGTCCTTTCAACAAGAATCGTGCTATCTAGGGTCCTATGTTAGGCTCCCTTATCTTCTGAAACTCCCATCTTGTTCCATGTCAGGTTCCGATTTTCAGTCAAGGTTTTCTCTCAGATAGATACGGGTTTCAGGACGAGCAACTGCTACTGTTACCATCCTGCTGCGATTGGTAGGTTGACCCGGAACCCAAAAACAGAACAGCTCGGGGCGGGGCATTCGAAAAGGCACGACACCTCTAAAGATCCACAGGCAGGGTCCTTGTTTTGAGGAGTTGTCTGCGCATGTGGCAGTAACAGCTTTCTTGAAGTTCAGGGTTCAGGGTTTGGGTGGCAATAGAGTTCGAGTTCGAAGGCGGCGGGTTCAGGATACCGGCCTTATCTGCTGCTCTGTGTGCCTGCAAGGCCTTGTCCATCGCAGAGCTCTTGGGGTCACAGATCAACCTGGTTGAGTGCCATGGCACTGGCACTGCTCTTGGTGATCCCATCGAGACCGGGGCACTCAAGGTTGGACACTCAGTCAGCTTTTGCAAGCGGATTCTGAGCAAAGGCGCTGGGAATTTGAATGAAGGCTCATTTAACCCCACCGATAACTGTTGTAATTTGATGGCTACTTTGTGTGAATCCCAACACAGGAAACTCAGGGCCAATTTGGACGAAAAGTTGTGTACTGCATGAGTAGGGCATCAGCATCAAACAAACCTTTTTAAGAAGTCATTGTGCCCTTCACTACCCAGGCCGTGCTGGCACAGGGACGTTCGATGCCCGTGCAGCTGGCGACCGTGAAAACCAACATCGGATTCTCGGACACCCTGCACCCGGTCACCCCATCTCAACTTCCTCTGCCAGTCATGCGGGTGTTGTTCCAAAGTTCTTTCCGAAGGGTCTTCACTAGAAGGAGCTATCTGAGATGGTTAGCCTGAAGCAAATCTGATCTGAGCAGCCCATGGTCCTCTGCATGTCTGATTGGCGTGCTCACCATACGAACCGTGAAAGCGAAGCCAACTCAGGACACTTGGAGGGAGCAGCTGGAGTGGCCGGTCTAGTGAAAAGTATGCTGGCCTTGCAGCGTGGTGGAGCGCTCGGCGATGTTTTCGGATGGCGTCATGAGACAGGGTTCGCATGTCGGTGTTGCGGTTTGTGGCTGCATTGCAGCTGTTCACGCCCAGGCACAGTTCCTCCAAATGTTCATTTCGCCAAGCTAAACCCCACAATCGACCTCGAGGACGCTTTCAGTCCAGACCCTGTTGCGCAGAAGCTTTGGTTGACTTATTCAAGCTGAGATGTCGAGGACTTTGCTGCTGAGATCCCTACTGTTGCACAGCCTCTGCAGGGAAGCTCACTGACATCAGGCACACTGCTACTCTGCCCTCCTCCTCCTACTGCTACTGCTTCTCCTGCCCCTACTCGCTACTCCCACTCGTACTCCTACTGGTATCGATACGAGTACTAGTACAAATATCTTCTTCTTCTTCTTCTTCTGCCACTCTATCTTCTACCACCACTGCATGCAAACAGCCGTGTGTGACCCTGTGCTCTTGTCAGGCCTTTCCTCTTTCGGATTTGGTCACACCAGCGTGCTTCTGCTTCGGCAACCTTTTTGCTGTAGCACTGTAGCAGAGTAATTGGAAAGAATGCTGGGAATGGCTGTATTTTGTTGCGAAGATAGTGCACAGGGGGTATTCTGTGTTAGTTGGCGTCTTTTTCGAGACATACGTGATGCAAGCCAGGTGGCACCAATGCCCATGTGATCTGCAAGCACACGATCACCGACAGTGGTCCAAAGGCCAACTCAGGGTTGCTGTCGCTACACAGCCAGCCATGTCACAGCCATGTCAGAAGAAGAGTTTTCTCGGGTGGTATGGAGGCCAAGGCCGCGTCCAAGAAGCGCGTGGCATTCCTCTTCACTGGCCAGGGCTCCCAGCGTGTCGGAATGGGCAAAGAGCTCTACTCCTCCGAGGACTCGCAAAATCAATTTGTTCTGTGGGCTGTACGCATGTGCAGATGAGATCGTCAGAAACCCAAACACCAAACACGGCTTGTCACCAGGAGTCCTTCCGCTCTGCACTAGATGTGTGTGCAGAGCTGCTGGATCCGTTGCTTGAGAAGCCACTGCTCGACGTGCTATTCAAGGCACCGGGCACTGGTGTTTCATCCACCTTCGGGAGTGAATGTGGCTCGGGCTGTCGTGTCTGCCGAGGCAGAGAACCGCGATCTGCTCAACCTGACCAAGTGCGCACACAGTCATAGCCGGTCATATCAGTAGCAGGGATGGTGGTGGTGGTCGTCGTAGCCGTCCTAGTAGCTAGTTGTGGTGACCGCAGCCACAGGCAGCGGCAGGAGTAGTAATAGACGAAGAAGGCGCACGAAAAGAAGCAGGAGAAGGATCAGGCAGAGGAAGAGGAGCGGGACCAGGAGTGAGTAGGGCAGAGAGTTCAACAACACGAGGATAATAAATGTGTCAAGATGATGTTAAGAAGCAGACCATCAGAAAATAAAGCACACGAAGAGCCAGAAAAACAACAGAGAATGGCCTTTTCAGAAAAAGTAGATACAAAGACCTGCAAGACTAGCAGGAAACATGTTGGAAACCGACACACGTCACACAATAAAGTTCGACCAACTAACAGGGACATGTCGAATCTAGAAGGAAAATGAACACTGGCAGGTTTAGCAAGAACTACATGACAGGTGCCTATGATGCATGTGGCCATGTCCCCCATGTCCAAACCTCCTGTTTTGGAGTCAAGCAGACTCACTTGCGCAGTCCCTTGTTTTTGAAATCCGCAGAACCTCGGAGAGCATCTCCGTCAGCCTACTTTCGCAGGTTTTTGGGCTTTCAAGCCCTTGACTTTTCTCATAAGAATTTCACGAGGTACTCGCAGCCAGCCATCTTCGCGGTAGAGTATGCCCTCGCGGAGCCTTGACGGCTTGGTGTAAAGGGGCCTTAAGAGGGTTGTCCTTAAGACTCTCTGATTGACTCTTTGATGTTTAGGATGAATAATGTAAAGGTTCGTGAGAAAAGTCTCTGTGGTCGCAGCGGTGATCGCAACTTGGGTCCTCTGTAACGCTTCTGGCTCGACGTAGGCCACTGAGATAATTCGACATCGCACAGTCTGAATCGGGTTGCTTGGAAGGAGATGTGGAAAGCTCTCGGAATCGAACCCTGTGCCGTGCTTGGGCACAGCGTGGGCCACACGGCGGCAGTGTCCAGGTTGAGGTTGTGCAAGAAGCAAACGCTCCGCCCCTAACTTCGTTGACTGCTGCGTGGGCTTCGGAAGAACGAGGCGAGTATGCCGCTGCTGTCGTTGCCGGTGTCCTCGGGCTCGAGGACGCCGCACGCCTGGTGGCGGAGCGTGGCCGTCTGATTGCGGAGCTTTGCGAGGGCAACATTGGCGGCATGACAGCTTGCCACTTGCCCTGTGAAGAAGTCTTGGAGAGGTTGTCCACCTAGACCCTAAACGCCTTGTCCCGTGTTCTGCTTAGTTACAGCTTGCGGCTTGAGCTGTCGTGAGGCTTTGCTCCTGAAGCAGATTCTCAGATGCAGCTACCTTGAGATGCTTCAGGGTTGGTCCAAGTCGTTTCTATTAACTGAAGGGCCGCTGCAGCTGAGGATGTGCTCAAAGTCCTTTCTGGACTATCTGAGAGCGATCGCAAGCAGGTGTCAGTTGCCGCAGTGAATGGACCGAAGATGACGGTGGTCTCAGGCCGATTTTTGCACACCGGCGGCTAGTCTTGTTGAGAACCCTGTAGTGCTGACGACCTGCAAGGACGCACGGACTTGGTAAAGCAAGTGGTTCAGAGCACGGGCGCTGGAAACAAGGACATCTTTTTTCCGTTTTCTGCCGACGTGGTTTCAGAGGAGGTTAGGCTGGATGCTGCATATCCAAGCTACTGCGATAAATTCGCGACGACCGAGTAGCTCCCAGACATCTTCAACTATCAGTGTGTGATGCAAAACGTATGGGTCATCCAGATGCATTGGCTCCTGTTTCCTAGCCAGTTCAGCAGAGCGTCTAGCAAGAAGCAGGATGTGTTCGAAAAACACAGCGCAGTCTTGTGCATGCTACGCTGCTGTGCATATATGCAGCTTCTGATTCGTACCTGTCGCCAAACTGCAAATACACATACATGGTCCTACGTCCGAACATGCCAAATTTCAACTTCTAGAGACCCTTTCATCTCCCAGACATCGGCAGGAGCTCAACGTCTCTCATGCGTTCCACTCCCCGCTGATGGAGCCTATGCTCGAGAGCTTCCGGACGGAGGTGCCATGACTCAGAAATTCTCAGCCAAGATGCACGAGTTGCTGTCAGTAGAGAGTGATAATTTAATGAGCTATTGTAGATTTCCGTTGTTGAATCGTCGTCTGGGTAGTGATGCGGTCATAGACACTCGCACCCATTCGCACGCCATCAAGAGTACCGTCACCATCACCAGCAGCAACATCATCGCCATCATCACCATCATCGTCATCACCATAATCATCATCATCCTCATCATCATCCTCATCCTCATCTTCATCCTCATCCTCATCATCATGACCACCATCATCACCACCACCACCATCATCATCATCATCGTAATCGTCGTCGCCATCAGGCAGTTATGCGAGCGTTCGAAGCCGAAGAAGCAGAGCCGCTTTGCTATTGCAGGTTTCCTCGGCAAAGCTCTCCGCTCCGAAAGTGCGTTTTCTCTCCACGGTGACGGGCAAAGCGGAGAGCGATCTCTTCAGAGATCCCGGCTACTGGGTCCGGCATGTGTCGCAGGCAGTGAGGTTTGCCGACGGCATGGCAGCTCTGGAGGCCCTTGGGGAGGCCGAAGCTTACCTGGAAGTGGGCCCCGAGCCCACCTTAGTAAAGATGGGGAAGCGATGTGCCTCTGGTCCAGCGGCCAGCAAAGAGTGGCCCTGGTTGCATTCCATCGAGCCCGAACAGGCTGAGGGCAGCACCGTGGCTTCGGCTCTCTCGCAACTGCAGGGGGCGCTGCCGGCCCTTCAGTACAAAAGACAGCCCTTCCCCTGGCGAGATGCGGGCCCCCGGCTTCTGCGAAAGCGCAGCGAAGGGCAAAACGAGGTCCTCTTCGACTGCCCGGTCCGCGGTGACATCTTCCAGGTTGGCATAACCAACACAGCACTCACGTGAGAAGAAGGAACAGCAACAGTAGTTGGCAAAAGAAAGAGTAACAGTACTGAACTGCGCCGGATCTCCATCGTATCTCTAGCCTCAGGTGTCTGCCGAGCATGTGGTCTACAATGAGATCGTCATCCCGGGTGTGGTCTTTGTGGAGATGGCCATGGAGGCTGCCAGGGCACACCTTGGGCCAGAGGCCCAGCTGCGAGACATACAGATGGTCTGGCCCTTCGTGGTGCCCAAAGATGGAGACACGGACAGCAAGCAAATGATGATGCGCTTGGCCATCATTGGAAACAAGCGTTTTGAACTCCGAAGCCAGGGACCAGGTGATGATACTTGGACGGTTCACTGCGAAGGTCGGGTCGAAGCCACGGGAGGAGGGCCGAAGGCGGCAGCCACCATCGATCCTGAGCAGACGCTCTCAGCCTGCGCTGGGAGGTGCCCGGAGCAGGTGGATCCTGCCAAGCTGTACCCGTTGGTGGACAGCACTGGCCTATGGCTGGGACCGAAGTTCCAAGTGTGCCACGACATGTGTCGCAACCCAGACGAGATCTCCTGCCGCATGCAGCTCAAGTCCGACGTGCCAAACCAGGGCTACATCATCCACCCATCTCTCTTCGACGGCACCATCCATGCTGTTTGTGCCACGATGTTCGATCAGGATCCGCCCTTCCTGAAGATCTTTGCTGGTGTTGGTAAGGTCACCGTCGTGGCCAACGAGGCACTCACTAGAGTAGCTGGCAATTTAGGGATGCCTTGCGCCGCTGTGATCTCGTCCCCAGATGCATGTCTCTTGACACGTGCCATTTTGTGCTGTGAAGGCTCCGAAGGACCAGGCCGTTGTGCTCCATCTTCGTATCGATGAGAAGACCGACCAGCAGCAGATCTTCACGTGCCAGGTCTTCAGCGAGGCAGGCTCCCTGCTCTGGAAGCTGGAGGATGTGATCTTCCGGAAAGTCCTCCCGGAGCAGATTCAGAAGGCCTTGGCCGCCACGAAGGCCAAGGATGCCGTGAGCTTCTTTGAGACCAAGTGGAAGCAGCTTTCAGAGGAGGCCCTGGACCAGGGGAGTGGCCTCCTTCCCGCGAACTCCGAGGGCCGCTGGCTCTTCTACGCCGAGGCGCCGCTGCTGGAGGCAGGCTTTGAAAGCCCTCTTTTGTTCTCGGTTTCAGTGGCACTCTGGGGTGGATCTTAGGTCTTAGGTCTTAGGTAGGGTCACCGGCGGGATCTTGGCTGGCGAGAGACTGAGAGATCCGGCAGGTCCTCAAGAAGGATCTGGGCGAGCAACACGTGTACATCTCGTCCATGTCGGAGAACGGCCTTGACTACGACAACTTGACGCGCATCGTCTACTTTCCCGCAGAAAAAGACAGCCCTCTGGACGTGCTGCACAACGGCCTCCGCCTGATCCAAAAGGCGCTGCAGGTGGGAGATGCGGCCCCCGAAGTCTGGTTTGTCCTCCGTGGCACTCAGGTGGGGGCTGGGGTGGTGTCCGTAAGTGCCGCCTCCTGCCGCGTTGCAGATTACGATTTCGAAGTGGGAGGTCAGTTTTGCTTGAAGTTGTGTCTGCTGTGCCTCCTTTCAGGCTTTGGAGGCGTCCGTGCTGAAGGGCCAGGGCCTTCCTTTGCACGCGGGTTTGTGGGGTTTGGCCCGCTGCTTGCGCCTGGAGTCTCCGGGCTCCGTCGCTGGCTGCGTGGACCTGGGCCCTCTCGAGAAGCCCAAGCCCAAGGACATCGTGAGCAGGCTGGGACGGGGAAGCCCTAACTCGCACACGTGTGGATCGCGGTGACTAGCCGTTGCAGCTCATGATCGATGCCGTACTTTTCTATCACAGAACATAGTCGAATGCTCCTCCCAAGCTACTTAGCCTGGATCCTGGAGGCTTCGCGCCCTCACGACACGGCGCTCGGGCGAGGCTCCGGAAGTGGAGCCGGAGCTCTTGCTCCACGGGCCCGCGCCCACGTTGTTGGTGTCTCGGCTGGAAGAGACGACGGCGAAGTTCCAGGAGGTGGATGTGGATGCCTACAGCCGCTGAGCAGCATGATGTTTCTCATTGCAATCACGTGTGTTGCAATTCGTTGCAAGTACTACCGCTGGTCGAATTGACGATTGCAGAAGCGTTAATGCAAGGTCTGGGCGAAGCCAGCTACGTCATTAGCCGGGGTGCCCAGGTTTTTGGAGGGTGGCAAAAGACAGTCGCAGTGCAGAGAGCCAAGCTCAGCCGCAGCGTGACAGCGTGAGAGCTTTCATCCCAAGACTGTGACTCGCAACTTGGAAAATTGACCCAGGTGGAGGCACGGGCGGGCTCGGTCTGCTTTTTGCTGCATGGTTTGCGGAGAAGGGTGCCGGACATCTGGCACTGCTTTCTCGCAGCGGCAAGATCGCACAGGACTGGTGACAACGGGCTGCATCCCTGTGCAAGATGTATCTGCCATGCATTCCTGCATCATTACAGTGTTGTACTGTTCCATTTCAAAAATTCTGCTGTAAGTGTCAAACGTGCAGCCGAACGAACGTGGCTTTCCACAGACTCACAACTGCTGTGCTGCAGCTGCATGCTACTCTACGACTCTAAGATGCTGCAGGATCCTGGATCTGCAGCAGCCGACGTCTTAGTTGGAAGGTTCCAGCCGTACCCCAGCATCTCAGGTCATCATCCACGCAGGAGCCACCTTTTCATGCGAAGCCCCGTACCTCTCGCTCAGCTCAGGCCTATGCCAGGCTTCAGAATACATCAGCTGCCACTACCGTGGAGTCGTGCGACACCTCTGCCGTGGAGGCCTGTTCAACACTCGGGCCTGGGAGGGAGCAATGAGCGTCAGCAATAAATCACCTCAGGCCGTGACATCTTGCCTGAAGTCGGTGCATGGCACGCAGCCGCTGAAGGGAGTTTTACATGCAGCTGGTGTCAGAGTCTCAGAGCCGATCGCGATCAGGGGCGTGCGGAATGCGAAATCGGGCCATTTCGTGTGGGAGCACGGCGGTATTCGGTGATGAGGTCTTGGATGATCACTTGATCATGGACCTGCAGCGCGAACATTTCGTCCCGGTGCTCAAGCCCAAGATTGACGGTACCCTGCTGCGCCCTAAGTTTGCTAACAGAGCGCGAGGTGCAACGTGCAAGTAAGTAAATAGATGCAAACAGTGGACCTTCAAGGTTGAGTACTGAGATGAATGCACAGATGGTGCATACATGCAAATTTGCTTTCTGTCCGTATGTGTATGTACGTATGTATGTCCGTACGTACGTACGTACGTACCTATATGTGTATGTATGTCTGCGTGCTGAGGAATCTCCATGCAGCATTAGAGAAGCTCGGGCTCGAAGGCAAAGGCAGCAGCAAGGTGGGAGGGACGTGACAGAGCGTCGGCTTTTGGGTTTGGCGGTCTGGGGGGGGTTCGGGATTTGGTGGGCATCCATTCAGTGAGTTTGTTCGAGAGTCGTCTTCCGTCTCTGACACATAACCCTAAACCCTAAACC